AAGAGCTTTATTACCATGACAAAAATTATTGCTGTCTTTACCAAATGAAGAATACAGCTGTATTCTAAGAATTAGAATTCTAGCTAAGAATTAAGGAAAACTGTTCTTACTAGTTAATATAAAAGTTACTGATAAGAGAGGCTGGTGTTTTCAGAAAATTATTCCAATTTCCTAACAAGATTTATAGTAGCTGTTGAAAACACTTATCTGGATTACCAAGTATGTAGTAATGGTAACAGTAAGTAAATAAGTAAATTCTCCTGATACTTAAGTCCTAAATTAAGCTCAGGATAGTGATTTTAATTAACAGACCAGCAGTCTAGTCAATAACACAAAGCTGAGCCAGTCTCCCATATCTAAAAGTTACAGAATCATTAAAGAAACTGATAAATAGGCCAAGTAATTTCTGTATTCCATAGTCTGTATCAGGTATGAGTCATCCAAAAAAAGAAAATTTTAACGTTCACACACTGCTATTATAAATGGACTACTTAATGTCCAGTTAGATTGGCAATATTAAGATCACTTTATTTTAAGATTTATGGATTTTGAAAACATGTACAAATAAAATATTTGTTACAAAATTCCATTTGCTAAAGTTTCTCCAGGAATATACAGCAAGCATGATCCCAGCACACAGATAAATGACTTCTACAGAGAGCATTACATAGAGCAGTAAATGCTAGTGAAACAGCCAGTCTTTCCAGACACATTACAATGAAAAGTTTTCTTTCCTTTTGCCACATCTAACATTTGACGAAATGTTTTATTTCTAAATAGCCATGTCTGAAGTTAAAATGCGTAAGCAATCTGACTGTGGAAGTCAACAGGCACTCAGAAGCCCCAAAGGGGAGAGTAAGCACTATTTTTTAAGTTCACTAGTTCAGGGGTAAAAATCCCTGAGAGACAGAAAAACAACAAACCCTTTTTCTTCGATGGAAAGATTCTTTCCAGGGGACATTGCCAACAGACAGCTGTAAAGATAAACTGTAAGACTGAAGAACAATAGTAAGACAGAGCAAGGAAACCAACCTGTAATGCTAGGTAAGGAATAATGCCTTTGGTGGGGCAGCATGGGACTTCACCAAGGCTGCCTGCTTGCAAGAAAAGCATTCAGCAGAAATATATGCAGAGATACAAAGCATAAGATATGTACATGTTAATCTTGTCATTAAGATGGAAAACACTTACAGTTTGTGCCAAAACTATAATCTCACTTAATTTTAAATGGTATGCAACTGACCTTAAGAGTTAAAATACAAACAAGAATAAACAAAATATTGCACTCCAATTTCAAAGTTATCATCAGGACATTTATTACATGAAGCAAGTAAATTAGGAAACACAGATCCATATGTATTTTCTGTTGCTTGATGTCAGTGCAGAACTGCTCAGCTGCAAGTGTTTAACAGACCAGGCCACTGAATTCTCTGGGGCCTGGAAACTGATCTCAGAAGCAGCATGCTTCTGACCTTCCATCTTGAGTCCCCAAACTGCTGCTGGACATCAAAACCGCTCTACTTCTTCTACTTTATGAGTCACTGCAGTGTCCTGTTCCTTGCTACATGCTGTGACAAGGGTCCCCAACTGTATCCTTTTCCTTAAGTCTATTGTGCATACAGAAGCTGCGCTATTGAATTATGATGTCGTGCTGATTTTCAATGCTATTTAACATGTAGGCAGGTCAAGCTAACTAGATCACACATGAGCTCACTCACACTGTTCACTAAGGCCGATCTGAGCCTTCAGAGCAGTGGAAGAAAGCTGCGGTAGTTTCAGGTTATTGAAACATCCAAAGCATTAAGAAGCCCGTTACATCTGGCAGACATCTAGCACCACAATAAGCAACACTAGGAGGAAAGTGTGGCATAAATGGTGAAAGGAAGTCAAAGCAGATTTCAGTCTAAGGATCTAATTTTAAAGGTTAATATAGGTTTCACAACCAGTACACTTAGCCTGTGATCAGCTACAGGTTTAGAACTATTAGCAAATAAACAAGAGTTTTAAGAGCAACCTTTAGGTTCTGACCTAAAGATCTATAAATATCACTGGAGGGATGATCTAGTTTGAAATCAGATTATCTTTAACCAGAAAGCAATCATCCTTACAAGAGGCCCTCATGCTAGTCACACTTGCTCAAGAGCAGGGCAGGACTCTAAAGAACAGATGTTGACAGCATGTGTCCTGTGCTATTTTAACATCGAACTTCCTTATATTATTTATGTCACTTCCTTAAGAGGACAGTAATTAAGCTAACCTACTCCAGCCCCACTTCAGCCCAACTGAGCGTCCAGTTATATGCTCAGTTTAACAGAATGGGAGTAGCAAGTTCTCGGTGATTTGCTGATGTGTTACCATACCAAAAGGCCTCAGGAAAACAGCAACTAGAGAGGAAGAGTACATTCCTTTTCCCTGCAAGGCATTCTCTAGGGTGCTTACCATGAGGAAGAGACACATCAAACTGTCACAGTTTGTGATAGTTTTAATTCTACAACACCATTATTCTAGGGCATTTGTTCCACACAGGAATGTGCAGTTTTATGGAAGGACTGCTGTTCCAGTTCTCTAAGTGGACTCTCCAGACTTCAGGCTTTTGCCCTAGATTTAGGTCACTAGTAATTGGACATGTGTAGAAAATGCACAGGCTCAGTTCAGTGTTGCCTAATTAATTTCTTAGTCTGTTGATTTGGCAGTCGCCCTACAAAACAGAACTGCTGGATATTTAAACTTGTATGGAAGAATACCTTTCGACACTAGCAAGCCTCCCAAAAAATAAGCCCAACTCTTTCGGTACTAGTGAAATAAATATTTTAAATTGCCTGGAGTACAAAATGAAATAAGTTCTCAGGTGGGACAATCAGCTTGGTTCACTGAAAGAAAAAAGATTAAGCAGAGTACAAAGTATAGAGACACAAAGACTTCATGGAGAATTCCTGAAGATGAAGCGCAGAACTGACAAGTGCCAAAGTCTTGCAACCTATGGAGCAGAATCAACTATATCAATTTTCTGTCTGGGACATTATATTCCCAAGCAACTGGTGAGCGCACCAATCAACCAATGTCACAGCTTGAAAGAGAGAGTTTTGCACGTTATTTTGATCTATATGAGGCACCTTACAGTATTGGAACTGCTCCTGGCGTAGCATATTCATGATGAAGACAAACTCATCTACTGAAATAAAAATTAAATTTATTTCTGCTCATAGGCTGCTGCCACAGTTCTTAGCCAACCCTTCTTGAAGGACATATAACAGCCCCACTGTGCTCAGTCCTGGCCATCCTGCCAAGCTTTCTGTTGGAGCTCACTTCACTACCATCTATTCACTTCGCCACAGGTCCCATGTGCTTTAGGTAGTTTTGGCTTAAGCCTAAACAGCAAATGAAAAGAGACAGATGCCTCTCTGCAGGAACTTTTCTCACTGGTGACCCTGGGAGCTGAGTTGGCAGAGCCATCTGAACCTCCTAGGATGGCTGCTCCACAAAACAGCCTTATAAAACACTATTCACATATTAACTGGAGTAAAATATTTACTTCAGATCAGGAAGTATTTTATTATTTGATAGAGAAAGAGGCCTGGTGCCTGAGCAGACAGTTTGGTAGCATTTTAAAAGTGATTTACATGCCTACTTTGATTTAAAATAAAATGGCATTCTGATTCCTTTTGCTAAGAAGTGAACTCTGCCAATTAAAAGGACTGGAAGACTGAAATAAACTCACTCTAACAGTACTGAAAGGCAACAGATCTTCATTCTAAAAGCCTTATATACAGGGTTACTCAGATGGTTGTTAAGGTAAAAACAAAACACAACGATATTTGCAAAAAAGCTTAATATAATATTTTGAGTCCATAAACTCTAAACAATAAATATAAAGAGTGCACATGGCACACCAGAGCAGCTAAATATAAAAAAAAAAAAAACAAAAACACAACAACAAAAAACCCCAAAACAAGTACAACTTGATAACACTTACCTATATTCTCAGTGATAAGTTTGTTTGTGATATAATACAGGCGTAATATACAAGATGTTTTTCCAAAGGAAAAGCACAGAACAAAGTTAATACAGAAGGTGAGGGAGGACGGGAGACAATAAATAACAAGGCACAAAACCCTCTCTTGTTGCAACCCTGTAAGGCACCACTTGTGCAAACATCAAACTATCAAAAGCTGTAGTGGAGAAATTCTAAATGTGTTTAAATAACTGGATAATGTATTTTAAATATGACACTATATGCTTATGTCTTTGGGAATAAAAATACTTACGAACCTTTATTTACACCAAAAGTCTTTTAAAAACCAAATTAGTGAAACAGGTGAATCAATAGCCAAATACAAGAGTCACAGCTAATTCCCCCCAGACACCTTCACAAGTGCAACTTGACCGTGACCTGGCCTTGCTAATAGAGTCCTGGGTCCAATACAGTGCACGGGGCAATGCTGCATATCAAATTATGTAGCATAACAGTAATTTTGACAAAACACAGGGATTAGGATGAGGATAGACTTATTTTCACTTGAAACCAGAAATTATTTAAATCCAGAGATAAAAGGTCAGTAGCATTAATCTAACATCATACCTAGGGATCTTAATACCCAAAGTCATAATTTATGCCTCTATTTAAGAACTGGGCACCAACATTTCTCTTCCTTATTCTGTGCTCAGAAAATCTATCATGACACAAACTTCAGCAAAAACCTTCTCTCTTACTAGAAAATAACAGATACCTAATTAAGCTTACAAACTGTAAGTTTCACCCTTTTTTCTTATGTCCCATGATCTCTACTGCATCCTGCTAGAAGTTTTTTTCCTCTCTCCAATCATGCAAGAACCTCCAGATAATACTGAAGTTACTCAAAATATGCACAGGTTGAACAAATTTTTACAAGATGAGAAGGGCTTTTAACTAATAACCAAAATTTTCTTCTAATGAAACATTTAGGACGCACTCAGTTTCTCATGAGCTTCAGACGCATGAATGAAATTTCCTTTTTTTTTTTCCACTTGGGAAGAGTATCGGTAGATTACATTTCTGGAAGTTCTGCTTGCAGCCCTGCAACTTGAACAACTGCACAGCACACAGTAAACAATCTAAAAGAACCTGACTACTCAGTTATTGGCTAAGTTGTGTTTTCGTATGTGACATGTCTTATTCTACTTAAAAACCTTGTTCCCAAATGAAAACATTTAAGGTCAAACAACCTGTAGTTTCCATGATGCTCCATCTACTGAGCTGCCAGAGAGGAAAATCAGGGCAATATATTATATTTTAAACAAGGGAAATGGAAGAAAAAACAGTCTTAAGTGGTAAGTTAACATTCATATAGCTATTTGCTGAAAGGCTGTGCCAGTTTAGGCATGCTTCATTCCTTATATTCAGTCCTCTTTAAAGGATATAAAAATTTGAGCAAATACAATGTAAACAGAGCCAGGTAGACTGCATTAGTAAAGAACAATATAATTGATCTGACAGGTTTAAGGCCAACAATTATGATTTGAAATGTATCATACTTTTCCATGGCACTTAATACACTGAAAGTTAGTACTGGATGACATTAAACAAGGGTATACGTATTCATATCTAATGCGATATATACATGGAGCTTCAGTCCTTAAAATAAAAAGTTCAAGTTTTCTTGTCTAAATCGAAACAGTTTGTGAAAGACCACCTGTGATTTCCTATAATGAATAAAGTAACATTACTATTTTAATCAATTTAGTGCAAACTGACCTAAGTCCAAAGACATACCATTCCTTGACTTTTAGTCGCTACTTACCAAATGCCCGTTTCTTTTAGAGAGACAACTAGACCTTTTTTTTTCCCTTGAAAGAACAGCAAACACGTGACAACTAGCATGCTGTTCTAGTCTACATTAACAAAACTTGCTGATATACAAATCATGTTTTGGTCATGCAGCAGAGACCCATCCTCAAAATAATCCATCTCTCCATTAAATCAGTCAAGAAGAGCACAGTGCCAGATTTTAATTAGCAGGTCATCCTGGCCACTCCGTACTCCAAGCTGACCACAGCAGGCTCAGCTTTGGAGAACTCGGACACAAGCTCACTGTAACGATTGTCTGCTGTGTTGCTGCCCTCTATAGTTCTCACAGTATCATTCCCAGGGATAGGCGGTTGCTCCTTCTTGAAGCATGGAGGGGTCTTCAGTGCCACGGGGGCAGGATGAGCAGGCTGCTGATGTTCCTTCACAAGGACAACATCTGACTGCCCGTTTCTCTGCTTTATTTTCTGAAATACAGAGAACAGTTACTAACAGTGGGCACGACTCTTTACTGATAATATTCTGCTTCAAAAGGAAGTGAATCCCCTTCTTTTGCTGGCCAACTCAGCATCTACAGAATCCTGTATGATATACCCCAGGCTAGATATGTAACAGTCATGTTAAATGCTATGCCATTGGATATATTGTTGGATATATTATTCCCCACAGCAGATGCTACAAGCACTGTTTGCTCAAAATTCCTTAAAACATATTATTTTGAAGTTTCAGTACCTTAACTGACTATAACAGAAGCATCAATTAAAAGCCACTAAGTCATACTAGAATAAAATCAGATACAGCCTATCCTGGCTATTCACACTGGCACCTGAAGTCAATTATACACATCTTATCTCTGGATTTAGCCCTGTCTTGAAATAAGCATTACATTGTACATGACCCATAATTATGGTGACTTACAACAGCATGCACCTACATATGAATTTAAAAGAACAATACTTACTGCTTCCATTTTAGTAGCTATAATGGAAATAAAACATTTTCAGTCTCCTTGGTTTAGCAACACAGCTGTAGCTATGATGGGTACCTTTTTATCCAAGATAAGTTTCACAGAAATTTAACCTACATTAAAGCATCTTCAGTAATGCTTTGATAGTAGGAGAACTTTTACATAATGCAGTTCATCAGTAAAGCAGAATAAATAGCTCTTGAGAGCGAAACATTGGCTGCATAGTCTAGCATTCATCATAGAAGCATACAGTGGATGTCAAAAGTCAACACTACACAGAGTAAGTGCTGGGCATACAGTAGTGACATTCACGTAAAAGCTAGCAGCATTATTATAACTTTAAATGAATTTGAAGGACAAGAAGTCACACATACACACACTTATTTTGTAATACTTACAGCTTCCAGTTCTTTAATGTCTTCTTCCAGTTGTTTATTTTGCTCACTCAAATTCATTATAAGATTGAGCACAGATTGCCTGGGATGCATACTTCGGTCAAACTGATGGTACATATTTCTCCAAAACCTGCACGAAGCAGACAGTTTTAACTATGCAGGACAACGACAAAACTGAAGAAGAGATACTGTATCTTATTTAAACTTACTTAAAATTGAATGATACTGTATTAGGCTCCAAAAGAGTTAATTCTGGCAAAAAGTCTGGATTATATAGAGGATTCCGATATTTCTTTTGTTCTGCCAAAAGGAATGGCCACAAGGAGTAGGTCTTCTCTTTTACTCTTAAAGCAAAAAGAGATAAAGGTCAACACAGTGACAGCAAGCAAAAAACCAGAAGCTCTTCAACTAATAATCAATCTTTAAAAAAAAAAAAAAGGTTACCAGAAATACTTAAAAGTCTTGAATTAAAAGCTTTTATTAAAATCAACTTCTTCCTGGCATATGCTAACGTTGGACAGAAATGCCAATTTTAGAAGTACTACTGCTTTTAAAATACAGTGTGAGACAAACTGACAAAAACTTCACAGAAGTTTGCCAGCTGAAAGCATTGGAAGCTACCCTATTAATTCTTCCAACTGGCTAGTCTTGAGCAGGCAAGAATTTTAAGTTTACCTAAAAAGAAATTGGGGGAAGGAATGAAGTGATACTTCCAAACTTAAGCTTTCAGTACTACCAATCCTGCTTCCATTTCTATTCAGAGCCTAAAATGAAGATTCGTGCGAGTTCTCAGTCTGACAGAATAAACAAAAGACACATTACAATATGCCTGCTTACTTTAATTCTTCTCGTTCTTTTTCACAGTTTCCAAGGAAGTTACCAAACTGGCATGAATGGACATGTTCATGGATTTGAAGGAGGAAAACTTCATTGTACTCAAAGGCTTGTGGAAACTGCTCAGTCAGATTCCACACACATTCTAAAAACTGGGTGAACACCGGTGAGATCTCTTTTGGATCACCATCCAACTGACAACATCTGAAAAAGATTCCATAAACAGATTGAAACTGGTTCAAGTTAGAAATCAAAAAAGTCTTATCTGCAATTGTTTTTAAATGACAGCACATTAATTAGACACTATCATTGGTTTGGAGATTGAGCACCTTACTTCAAGAACTGGGACAAATTTTGAATAGAAACAAGTCTATATTTAACCTGTTTTTCTAACTTAAAAGTAATCACACATTTCTATTCAGTACAGAATAGCAACTTAAGACAGGTAAGTTCCTTTGTGTCTATTATCTTCACAGTCTTTAGAGTATATCAGCTAAAAGCAAATTAATAAGCAGTAAATAGCAGCAAGGCTATTGTCATAGCTGATGACACGCAGATCAAGGGAAAAAATGGAACTCTGAACATAAAGGACTTCTAAAGGTAGGTATGACTTCATCATCAAAGCAATGAGAAATGTAAACTCTTCTTTAAAGATATCAAAACTAAGTGTTTCATATTGCCTAAATAGCTGGGACATAGCCTTAGATTGGTTTTGCACTGTCCATACGTATGTGCAGATCTAGCTGCTGTCATCAACACTTGAGAGCAGGGCACCGGCAGCACTAAAAATTCATGTCTACAATATAAATCAATTATCCAATATGCATCTGAATAAATAGAATACAATGCATTGTCAACTGAAAATAGCTTGCTGCTAAACTACTGCAGCGTTGCTAGAAATTTAAGATCCACAATCTTAGTTCAGTTTGCTGTATACATTTTACAATACTGGAGGAGTGAACTACCTGTCAGAGAACTTGTGCCCAAAAGAGATCCAGTCTTTCTCTATCAAGACCTAGAGGGTAAACAAACCAAATTCTCATGAAAAATGTTACTCCACAGGTTATCCATATATTGTATCAATAAATCTGATTATTTTGTATTCAGATTAAATTGTATTAAATCTCAGACCACTTAATAACAGTAGGAGCAACCATTTGTCTCTTTGTAGCTTCTTTATTTTCTTGGAAGCCTTTCAGAGGAGAATTGTCAAAGCACATTTCCAAAACTAAAAGTTCAGCAACTTGCTAATAAGATAATTGCTCTTAAACCAGACTTACTTTAGGCACAATGTACGACTTCACTAGATTATAAGCAACTTTCAAAATATATCAAAGCACAGGAAAAATGTTAGTATTTTATTCCTGGTATCTCAGTTTATATAAAACCACACAATATAATCTTTCTAACACTTAGAGCAGTAAGTTAATATCAACACTAGCTTGTTTTATCACTTCAGTCACAATATCAAGCATAACAAGGAACACAGTACCATCTGACCTTTACAGAAACCTTCACAAAAATCTAATTGAAAGCAAGGAGTAATCAAAACCCCAAAAGACTATATGACATCCCTAAAAATTACACATGTTCTTACTATTCACAAAAAATTATTCCTCTTCCAATTCATCTTCAGGTTCACTTTAATCGCTTGTAATATTTGTGACAGTTCTAATCAATACAGTAAAGTAGTTTTATGTACTATCCTTGAGGAGTTCCCATGACACCTTGCCTTGCCACTGCAGAACACTACTGATTTTCCCACTGTAAAATTTGGAATAATCATACTGAAATTTCTCTTCCTCTCTATGGAAAAATGAAAAAATTTAGATTGTTTAAACATCCCCAGGCACTGAGGGAGTTGACATTTTTACACTTTAAAAATGTTAACTTGGGGACAAGTGATAAAATACAGAGATGATGTAATTTAGTACGTCTGCTATCTCACATAAGCACTTTGGAATCCCTGTATGTCACAGATAATGGGCTTTTCTGGATGCAAAAGACAATCATTGCAGCATGGTGGCTAAAGAAATCTGCTATTTGTATTTCAGTTTCTTAGATTTTAAATAAATGTTCTTTCCAGTAGCAAGGAATTTCTATAAGAAAAGTTTATCAGTATACTGAAAATCTCATTTTACATTTGTAACCCAGAAAAAAAGGCAGTATGTTTACACTGCTCCCTTTCACACTCAAACATTTTACATCTTTTATTTACCAAGGAAGAGCTCAACAATGCCACAGTTAGCTTACCATGAATCCTTTGATTGTTCTGTAATAGGAATCTAGTAAGAGAGCTCCAAGAGAGCAAACTTGGGAAGTCCTATCCCAGCCATCTGAGCAGTGCACTAATACACTTGCGCTCTCCACCGCTATTGCCTACAAAACACAGTTGTTTCTTGATGAATGTTTTTCCCCAGACAAAAGTCAACATTTAGTAGATAAATAAAAAAGCTACATTTATCCCAAACTCACAGCATAGGTCATTTTATTTACTAACTTGGAAAAATGTTTATTATGAGGAAAGGATTTGATACTGTCAGAAAGCTAGGAATCTCTCCACAGAAGCATAGAAAACTCCTTACAAAGAAAAGAAATTCCACTACCACCTTTGCATAAGCTAACATCTCCAGTGGTTCCCAGTTCTCTTTCTCTCCCTTATAAAACAAAACTTACAAGAAAAGCTCGCAGCGTATACTAAAAAAGAATTAGATTACAAATTATAGATTAAAAAAACAAAACACCACCAACACATCATTAAAAATACCCACTTCTTCATCATTATACTACAGAAAAGTAAAGGTCTGGGAGATGTTTATTAGCTTTAGCTAAGAAATGAAATCCTGTTAGCTCAGATGTTTTTGAGGGTCATCTTTAGGAGAATCATTCACTTTTAACTGAGTTAACTCCCTGTTATTTCACCTAGTAAAAACAAAGATCCAGGTTTTTTTCTTCACCCAGCCACTCAGCCCTCTCAGGTCAAGGCCTTGGCTTCATAAGTGCCTGGCAAAGGCAATTGTTCCCCTGAATTCCTCATAAAGAGTCCCATTTCCTGGCTAAATGAAGTCAGCATAGCCACTTTGGCTGCTCTGCAATTACTGCCCCAGCAGCTCTGTTTTTCAGGGTGCACTAAATAAGTTTGTTCCATCCTCCTCCAAATTGGTTATACCTTTCAGAAATACCTAAAGAACCAGGAAGCATAAGAACCTGTTCATCTGCCAGCAAGATGATCAAATAGCATTCAAAAAATCCCAAAACATTAGCTGGCATAAAGAAATGAAAAAATCAATCCAATCATAAAGAAACATGTAATACTTAAACCAGTATATCCAAGGCAACAGTATATAGACTAAACATCTACCTCCAAAAGAGGCTGGTTCCAGAATTTTACGTATTACATAATCTTAAGCATAATTTTGCCTGGCAGCAAGTCAAATTCCTAGCACATAAAGAAACAGCATGCAAGTTACCTTGACTAGGAAGACAGCAGCATCCACCACAGCTTTGATGTGACGCAGCCATCCAGAATTCTCCAAACCAGAGAGGAAGTCATTGACAGACAAACCCCTTGTGCCACTGACTGAAAGAAACCAAGAGTTAAAAAGCCTTAAGCGGTTGCAGTTACCTGAACCCTGCAATGTAGAAATATATAGAAGAATAATTACATTTTGTGTCTAATCTCCTAAGCTGTAAGTTAATTAGAAATCTTTCAGGAAACCCCCACTCAAATGGTTTAAGGGAGGGGTACTACAAAATTATCTCCATCCAGAATTCAACTCTGTAGAACTACAGTAATCACAAGTGACAAGATCTGTGTCTTTTTGACAAAATAACATTCCAAATAAATCCACTGGTTATCCCCAACAGGGAGCCTTACCCTTGTCTAACCAAGGAAGTCAATGCAAATGCCAAAGGCTTACCAGAAATACTTAAAGATTACTACTGCTAGTAGGAAGTAGCTGCATTCAGACAACATACACAGTTCAGAGTAGTCAGACTGCCAGAGTTTCATCACCTCCACCCTGTTTAGGAGAATAAAGTGCAGTACAAGGACATGGTAAAAAAATTAAATCCATCGAGATTTTGTCTACCTCCAGACTTGACACACTACATTTCTGACTGATCTTTACCATTCTTCCCTAATGTATATATATATATATAGGCCAGTTTCTTCGCGAACGAAGAACCGGGGAAGGTCTTTCCACCTTCCAGCCTGCGCATTGGATTTTTTAGGTGAGACACAGTGTGCGCGGAACTGAGCCCACCCTTTAATCCTGAGGTTCATCTGCCGGGGCCAAGCACGCTTGGACGGTGGCAGCGAGGTCCTCAGGACGTAGATGGATTGCCTTACAGGGCTA